GGAAGAAAGGAAGGAAGGAAGGAAGAGGGAACGAAGGAGGGAAAGAAAGAAGGAAGGAAGGAAGGAGAGAAGGAAAAAAGGAAGGAACGAAGGAAGGAAGAAAGGAAGGAAGGAAGGAAATAATATATATATATTATACTATTTTATACATATCGTATAATATATATATAATATCTATTATGTATGTTATATGTATATATATATATCATATATATTGTATATATATATATACAATATATATACCTAGATCGTCCCAGGTGACTCACTTTACGCCCCTATGGTTTTTCGGGTTCTTTTACGCCCCTTTGTTCCGGAGTTGCGAATTTACGCACTTTGGGGTTTTTAGGTGATTTCGAGGGATTTCTTGGATTTCAATGATTGTCCTACAAAGGAATAGTAAGACCCGAGTGCCCACCTGTAATAGCCCAGACTTTGCACTTCCAAAGCATTCTTGCAGTATCTAAGTGACCCACCAGAACTTCCAAAGTCTCCGAAGGGGTTTAAGGTTTAGGGCAGGGTTTGGGGGTCATTCCCGGAACACCCTGAACTTTTGGGTTTGGGGTTTGGGGTTTGGGGCCATTCCCTGAATACCCTGAACTTCAAGGCCTCCTTGCCGCCATCTCGAAGCGAGCATCCCAGACATGGTTCGGAAAGTTTGAAGCCATCGTAAATCTCGAGGACAGACCCCTCAAATCTAATTGCAAAGTTTCCCAGACTATCGTGAAGCACCCTCGAAGCGACCATGGTCGAGCTGTTTCCACGCCTGCGCTCTGCGTTCTGGCAGCTCAATCGGCTGAGATCATCGAAGCTTGGCCCAAATGGGATTCCAGCAACAAGCTGCATAGATATGTTGGACATTTCCATATTTGAGGGCTGTACCGGGCTATAAAGCAGCTCATTTCAGCAATCCCATTTTATCAGCAAGGGCTGCCTGATAACGTCGCAGAACTCGCGAGTGCGGATGCTTCGGACTGACACGACGACTCAGTCGCGCTATATGCCCGATAAAATCTTCGCACTGCGATGTGCAATTGCACATCGGGTTGAAAACACGGGCATTTTTCAATCCGGCATCCCGCAGGTCCGCTAGGACGTGATGCAAATAATGCAGCTTCGGAACAAGATTAAACACCAATCGCCGATGGAGCATTGCCCACTGAACGAGATTGGCATAACAGAGGAGGAACCGATATCCAGCATCGGACACCTCAACAGCACTGCGATTCGGCATAAAAACAGGAGCCGCATACAAAATCCGCATCGCTGTCGCAATTGCTCTGCTGCCCTCTGAAAGGTATTTCCACGGCTTGTCCGAAGCTGACACGGGCAGTTTGCCTCGTCTGATTTCGGAAGCGAGGGTTTTGAGATGGTTTACAGGGCTTGCGGGATTTCCTTTCCTAAGTCGATCGAAGCTTTATAGGGTTTATAGGGGGTAAACTAGACCCATGGAAACGATGATATAAAGCCAGGGTTTGCTGTATAGGTTTGTCAAATACTATCTCAATACGGCGGTAAGCAGGGCTCTGGGGTTTTAGGTCCCTAAACCCTATACCCTAAACCCTGAACCCTATAAACCCTGAACCCTAAACCCTAAACATTAAACTTAGCCATGCGAGAGAGAAAAAACTTTGAGAACCAAGGCTCCAAGCAACCACCCTCAACCCTAAACCCTAAACATTAAACTTAGCCATGCGAGAGAGAAAAAACTTTGAGAACCAAGGCTCCAAGCAACCACTCAAGGAAGCCCATCAGGATCACAGAATCCTGGCCCTTGCTCCAGCCACCAGAAGCATAAGCATTTGGAGTTCGGGCACCAATCAAGTCCAGAGTGAGCTTTGGCATGTGAAGTTGGGCCTTCGATTCTTTGACATACTGCATAAGCTTTTGGTTCATTGCAGTCATATTCTCGTCCTGCGAGCTACCACCAAACAAAGGCAACACCAGGCAGAGTCCACTCGCCGCGAACTCTTTGTAGATTCCCATTTGCAAAATGTGAAATAAATCTGGTTTCAAGAAAGACGGCTGGTCGTTGGCCACTGGGATTGTTGTCGGAGTCGTTGTCCAAGGCGCTGGGTTCCGAGCCCCCGTAGTTTGCATCCAGGGAGCATCTTTGTCAAAGCATTCAAAGGACACGTCAGCCGTGCCCGCGAGGCACCACGGGCAGCAACCAGCCAATGGTTTGGAATTTGCAGTCAGCTTCCGTTTGCGCACACGACTGAAAGACCTCTCTAGCCCTGCCGCCTTTGCTTGGAAGACTAAGTCTCCCTTCATGCCTAATGGAACAAATCTCCAAACCTGGCCTCGGTACTCGTAGCCGTTGTCGTACAAGTCCCCGAGCCACTCGGAAACACAGCCCAAAAGCTGAAGCAGCGGTGTAGGGTCCTCGCTATAGTATTTCTTCGTAAGGGTACTCATCAAGTACCGAGTGGCCAGACTATGCCCGCTCAGGTTGAAGCCGGCTTCCTCAGCTCCCGAAGGCAGTTTCCGCTTTTGTCCACTGAGCCTCGAGCCACCCCCGAGGGCAGACTGAAATTGCAATATCATTATTTCAGACTTTTTAAAAGTCCTCCCACCATCTCCATGAATGTTGATGGGCACCAAAACAGCAGGGTTCAGCTTTCCAGATTGAATCTCTGCATTGACAGGGTGGTCAAACTCCTTCGCGAAATTCTCCCAAAAATCAGATAGCACGGCGGCCGAGGTGTCAACCGGAGTCCCAATAACAGTATCAAACTTTCCCAATTCAGCAAGAGCATGAATGAGGTCTTTAGGCTTGAAACAAGGATGCTCACTGAGACAACCCTCTCCGATGTTGACATAGGACCATGGGATGTCTACAAGCAGCTTCGTTTCCAACAAAGCCTTATACAAACCTCGTTCCTCGTTGCCCGCAGAAACAGCCGCCACAGATTTGCCGGTAACACACAGAACATCTCCATCTTTTGCGGAGGCTTTCGCCCTGTTGACGATGTCGTTCGCCGCAACCTGGGCGAAGAATGGATCGTCTACTGCATTAGACTGGGTGTTCTTTCGATTTGGTAACCTGGACTTTATGTTGGGAAGGCTTCGTCTTGGTGCACGTCCAATACCGGGTTTTAGAACTCTGGCTATAAACAATGGGGGACTCTTTCGTCCGGTGAACACATTCTAGAAAGCATGATGGTATGGTAGTATATGAGTTATAACCATTAGATTGTGAAGCTTGCTTCAGGACTTCATGCAGAAGGGTAAGCTTTTTGTTATGCTTAATCGTACATTGGATTGTGACAATTACCTAAGGATTTGCCGTGTCTGGAGGGTTTCATTAATTGGGTTTGCTACACGATAAGTAGTTTAAAGGTATATTTTTTTTTGCGAGGGCCTCTACCTAGTTTAGGGTTTAGGGTTTAGGGTTCAGGTCCAAAGGGATCGTTGCCTCTTTCTTTTGTGGGTTTGTGATTTTTCGTTGAGGCATACCACTTACATTCTGCCACTAGGATCGTAGCTGTTACACATGATATGGGATTGGGGGATAGTTCCTAGTTAGCAGTGTACCCAAGTCTTTTAAACCTATATAGAAACCCACGAGCAAATGATCCCCGATACCCCGGATAGCTAGGACCCCAGCACCTTTCCCGTAGCTGCGCACGTAGTCGCAAGCTTTGTGGCTGGCGTCGCGGAAGCACTCCTCGCCTGGCATGTGTATGTTTTTGCACCCAAAACATACAAAAACAGCGAAGTGCTGCAGGATCCTTTGCAAGACTCGCGAACAGTTGTCAGGAATTGCAAGACGAAGCACAGACATTTTCCGGTTTGCACACAGAGCCCTGCGCTCCCCACGCTCGAGTAAGCTAAGACGATCCGCTAGATGATCATGTCAATGTGAGGAAAATCACACCGACTGCGCTTTCAAAACTCTGGAGAGTCTAGAGACTCAGGCTTATGCCTTGCTCTTTGCCTTTGCTTTGGGCTTCTTTTTGGCCTGGGGGGGTTCCTCGGTGCTTGCCGGCGGCTCTTTGCGCTTCATAGACGTCATAGACCTGACTGACGGCATCTAGAACAGTAACATTACTCCCGAAATTACAAAGCTACTAAAACCGGGGAACCCTACATAAACCAAAGCCTGATACGAAAAGCGATCGCTATAGACAATATAATAGATCGAGTCAATAGAGAAAAACGGTATGCCAGATTCCTCGGGTTACTTCTGCTTGAGATCATACGACACTGCCAGAACACACCTCAGCTAGCTGCTTTATCCACATCCCAGGTTTGGAGGTTAAGACTTGTGACGACATTGGGCAAACTAAGAGCTGCACTGCCGCTTCACGGCTTTGACCTTTTCATCCAGATGATGCTGCAGCCTTGATAAGCTGAATCTAGGAAGACATCTGACAAACTTAGGAGCAAAATCCCGGTAATGCGAGAAGGCAACTTGTCATCCATGCCATTGACCTTAACCTCGGCCTGGATTCCCGCAAGATCGTCGTAAAGCAAGCCCAGTTTCTCGATGCACTCTTGCATGCTGGCGACATCCCTGGGCTTTGTGGCAGAGAGCTTCTTGGATCCGAGGCTTGGGTATGCATTTATGCAACAAGGGGTCTTCTGGCTGCCTTTCTCCTTCTTGAGCTTCGCGGCAAGTTTGTCCAAGTTCTTACGGGTCTGAAGAGCTTCGTCCATGATCTTAGCCACAGCCTGCTCACCCTGCATAGAGGCTTTTGAGATAGAGTCAAACAAGTTCTTTAAGAAGCCCCAAAGCAGCAGCAGGCCTTGCCGGAGTCCTTGGCAACCCCCGCAGCACCATCCCCGTTAATCGGAAGATCTGGCATGGGCCCATCGCCCAAAGCCCCCATAGCAAACCCTCCGGTGCCGGTCGTATCGGCTTGCTTCTTCTCCAGGACACCATCCGACTCATTCGTCCCGCGGCTGCCCTCCGTTCGAAAGTCCACCCAGTACTCCAGCTCGTCGTCATCGTACTGGTTTTTCCTGGTGGGGATACGGGGGTGTCTCTTAAGCGGGCTTCGGGCTTCAGGATTTATAGGGGCTTATAGAGGAATAGTTGCTTCAGAGCATCGGAGCTCATGGCAAAGGTCAGGGTTTCGGTTTGGGGTTAAGGGTTAAGGGTTTATTTAGGGTTTAGGGTTTAGGGCTTAGGGTGTCGGGGGAACGGTTCGGGGGTTAAAGTTGGGATAGCCTTGCAAATTCAGAGCCCTAGAAACCCAGGAGGAACCCCATAGACCTCATCAGAAACCTTACATAATATAAACAGTATGTGTTACAATACCAGTGTGTGCACAGGTACCATGTGGTTATAGGATTTCGAATGATCTCCGAGTAGATCCCTTTATCAACTTTATCGCAGATATTACAATAGATCTGATATATGCATGCAAATTACTCGCTGGATTCCCTGTGGTGTAGTAGTTATGCTCGAAAGGACTTCAAGGGCTGCAATTTCAGAAAGGTTTTCATAAACGTGTAACATCCAATCTCGGGCCCTATTAGGGTCCAGGGCACTTTGAATTTTTGCCTAGGGTTCCATGTGGTGTTCCATGGCTTTCAGGGGCTGGTGAGGGATGATAGGGTTGTTAGATCGAAAGTATTGAAGCAAGTCACCGAACGAAGCCGTGTCTCTCGCAGAAGTCCTTGACCTTCTGCACTTTCTTCCTTGGCTACATAGGCAGCACCCCAATAATCAAGAAGTTGCTGAGTGGTGCAAGGCGATTCTATTGATGCAGCAGAAACACGTAGTGAAGGCCAAACCTCCTTCACTCACCGGTTTCTTCATATCCGGCTCTGAGAACCATGCCCCCTTGGTCGCGACGTTGCGAAACTGCTCCGTCTTGCGCCACGTCTCCAGCTTCGACTGGAACACAGCCTCTGATCAATACTTGTTTTCATGTGGTCTCTTCGCTCCCTCTCTTTCTCTCTCTCTCTCTCTCTCTCTCTCTCTCTCTCTCTTGCTCTTTCTCGCTCTCTCTCACTCTCTCCACCTATCCTGTTCTTCTTTCTGAGGATCCTTGTCGCCGTCCGCTTCGATCATGATCTTGACGAGCTGGGTCCGCGTGTAGCCCTTGTCCTTCCATTCCTTCATCAGCGTTGGGCTGGCCGTGGTCTTGCCGGTGGTCGGGCTGGGAGTGCACATTCGCCTGATCTTTGCCTCCATCCGCGCATAGAGCTTCTTCTCTTCCGGGGTCTCACATTCATCATCAGACAAACGAGTTTCATCATTTCTCTCCTTCTTTTCCGGGCCCTTCCCCTCAACCACAGAGTCAAGGCTCGCGGGGGCACCGGGCTCCGCAGGTGGCACGTCCTTCGGGGTGGAGGCTTCACTCGCTTGGGATGTGGCGGCAACAGAAGTCGTGGACTCCAGTCGGGGCCGCGACTTCACTGATGAATCCTAAGCTATTCAAAAGGCAGAAGCATAAAGCAGGGAACGATTGAAATCCATTTGCCACTGAAGCTCACTGCTCCGAACGGAAGCGGGTGCAAACATACTTGGTGTGCCCGGCTGCGATTTTTGCAAGTGAGCAATGATCTCGTAGAGCTGCTTCTCTCGGGCCTTGGTGCTTTGTCTACCACTATCAACAACATTATGACTATATAGCAACACATATCTATAAAACTGAGACATCAGCAGTCGTAGGGGCTGGCATGGCTTCGACACTGAAACCATGAAGCAAATCCTTTCAAGTGTAACGGAAAAGAAGTGATCAGGGCCACTTAAACCTGAACGACCCATGCCTGGATGTGCTCAGGTGGGCTTGACGGCGATGGCGTCTTCTTGAAGACGATCTCGGGCGGCAGGGGCAAGTCCTTTGCGGGGCTTGGCGGAACTGAGCCCTAACCCCTAAACCCCT